CGTTTTTTCTTTATTCCAACCTTCTCCAATTTTGTACCCTAATACACTGGTGTTACACTCAAGTGTGATATTTATTGTTCTTGAGCATTTGTTTACTTTAGGACCTGAAATGTCATCACTTAAACTCCATCAAAGTATAATTAATCCTAAAAAGGCATAGTAATATGCTAAATTTAAGTACTAATCAAGCTTTTCAGCTCATAAACAAACGATAAACTCTTCAACTCATAAACAAACGATGAGTTATTCAGCTCACAAACAAGCAATGGGCTCTTTAGCTCACAAAAAATGAGCCCTTGAGCTCATAAACAAACAATGAGCTCTTTAGCTCATAAACAAACGATGAAAGAAAAGAGGGGCACAACCCGAAGAATGACAAAATCCACCCAATAACGGGATGGATGCGCAGACGAAGGCCCATCTCGAAAGCACCTTCAAAAAAATATATTTCTCATTGGGGGAGAAAGTTGTAGGGCTCATCAAGAGTTGGGACTTGGAGGGGTAAGTCAACAGGAAGAAGATATCGCCTCTTGATTCCTTCAAACTCTAAAGCGGTAATCACAAAAGGAAGCAGGAAGTTAGAGTGCCACACCATGTCAATCATGGCTTGGGCTCGTTGTTTGAACAAAGGAGTAAGAGAGGGAGCCATGAAAATCAAAAACAAGGCAGAAAACGCAAAAAAGACTCAGGAAGAATGAGAAACGTGAAGAAGAAATTCCAAGAATTGTAGACAATAAAAAATCCTAAGTTTTATGGAAATAGTAGGGAATCCCGAGTTTTAAGGGAGCAAGAAACGTGCAAAGATGAAGAAGTGGCCCCTTAAACTTCCAAAGTCATGATGGTTGAGGTGTTTTAAGAACGTAGTTGGGTATGAATAATGACCCATTTGTCACATTTCATGCAAAAGGAGTATAGCAACCAGACATGGACCCATGAAAAGTAGAGCTTAGACTCAAGCAGCTCAATCCAATTAATGGCTCCCTAGTCAAATGGAAGGTTTGCTCTTCAGCTCATAAAGATAAGGCCTGGTCCAATACGAGCTCTTCGGGTTGAGCTAAGATAACTCCATGGAAAATGAGCTCTTCAGCTCATAAAGCTGAACTACTCAAGTCAGAAAAGTTACTCAACTTATAAAGCTCTTCAGCTCGCAAGATCTCTTCAGATCAAAGAAACAAGACCAGCACCTCAACTCGAACCAAGGTCCGATTCCTGATCTTATACTTCAAAGATCTCCTCAAAGTAAGGGGCATAGGGGAATAGAAAGAGTGCAAGAGCACAGCACAGGAAAAAACACAGCACAACAATCAAAAGTACAAGAATTTAAAAGCAAAAAACACATGGACAAAAACAACATTTTCTTATAAATAGTTGGTTGCAAAGTCCTTTAAAAAAAAGAAACAAAAACAGAAGCCTTAAGTGCCTGCAGTCGAATCCGGGATCTTAGATAACTCGAGCAACTCGGGAATTTCAAGAATAATAGTTGATGTGGAGTCAGCAAGAGCCTCAGGGAGCTCAAGAAGCTCGGGAGGAACAGAAATAATGGTTGATGCAGAAGGAGCCTCAAAAGTAAGGACCTCGGTGGGGAAATAGATGCTTCGACACCCAGAAGGGCAAGGACCTCGGTAGATGAGATAGATACCTTGGCACCGACAAGAGCAAGCTAAAAAATGGTAGGAACCAAGACCTCAGCCTCCTCCTCAGCGCGCAGAACCTCTTTCTCCTTATTCGAATGAGGGTCAAACTCAAAATCTAGGTCCGAATACTTTGTCACAGCTTGATCCTGAAATGCAAGGTACCCAGTGGCCCAATTGGTGGTAGCCTCATCCTCCAGTTTAGCAATCAGAGCATCCTTCTTTTTAACGGCAGCTCTCTCAACCTCAATCTCCCTCCGCAGAGTGTCATTCACTTTAGCCAAAACATTGTTTCTCTCTTCATGGCCTTGTAAGACTCAAAATCCTCAAAGGCATCCTTGCGAGCTTGAATCAAATTGTTAGTCTTCAATTGGAGCTCTTCCTTGGTCTTCTTGATCTCATCCTTGGCTTTTCCTTTCTCAACCTCCAAATCCTTATTAGCAGAAGACAACTTCTCCACCTGTGCCTGCAGGTCCTGCACCTAAGCCTTGAGGTCCTCATTAGATAAAGCCAACTAGAAAACCTTGAGCTCAGAAGCCTTCAACGCCTTGATTGAGCTTTCCAAAGCCCTATCCTACTCGTGAGAGTGCTCACATGAATGGTTAGCTAGAGGAAAACACAACCAAAGGCTAGAATCAGTATGAAGCAACAATGCACGGCAAAAATGAAACTAGGAAGAATAGAAACTTATTGAAGTAGCATCATACAAGGCAGTAGTAACAGGTGTAGAGAGAGGCATAGCAGCAACCTTCTAGATGTTGGACTCAGGGATAATCGAAGCAATGGCCTCGACAGCAAGTTTTAGGGCACCAACAAGCGAACCCTTGCATTTCTTGACCTTCAGGCCCTCCACCAGCAGATGATGAATCTTCCTGGAAGGTCTGGGGAAGGATGCACATGCCAGATGGGAGTAATCGACTCCAAGGCCCCTTTGACCTCTGCTAAGGTGGGAGATGCTGAAGTTACAGCTTGCTCAAAAACCCCTCCAAGAGAGGAAGGCAAGGTCTCTTGAGGAATTGAGGCCTGTGTGGCATTCAATGAGCTCGACGGAGGAGTAGAAACCACTTCAAAAGGGAGATTAGAATAAGGTGGCACCTCTGTCCTTGGCACCTTTGCGAGGGAAGCAGAATCACTTCCTGACCCGACCTCAATCTTGCATTTTCCTCCACTCTTGATCTTCCTTAGCAAGGCAACCCTCGCCTTCAAAGCTTCAGCATCTGGAGCCACTGAGCTAGAACCTGAAAACCCAAAGGAAATAGATCAAAAATGAGGAAGAGGTAAAATAGAAGTTAAGGATAAAAAGGAGGAAGCGTTACCTACAACCTCCTCTGCACCAGCGAAGTAAATAGAAATAGGAGTCTCTACAGTCACCTCGGGAAGGCTGAACTCTAGCTTGGTAAACACAGAATGCTTAATCAAGTTAGAATACTTAGGGATGTATAGGGAACCGAAGCCCATTCTTTAGAGAAGTTACGAAGAATCAGGTCTCCCTAGGGACCTCAAAATCATATCTAATATCTACAAAGGGGATCCAATAGCACATGCCCCTAGAAAAACCAATCCTTACAGACAAGACACTCATAAGGGGGACGTAACCTCACTGTGAGCAATAAGATCTGAAGCGCAAGGGGGTTCGGAGCCCTCAGCGCTACCTAAAGGTCCAGCTTTACCCTTTTTGGCCTTTCTTTTTTGAGATCGTTTAAAACTCAAAAAAGACCCTGGTAAAGTCAGAGGTGTCTCTACCTTCTCCGCAGCATCAACCCCAGAGAAGTTGTCTATTTCATCACCAACATCCCCTAGGTTGTCCTCCTCTACATCTGGGAACCTATCAACCATGAGGGAATAGACGAGGATGTAGCTTCGGAAGAGGCAAACATAATTGGCCAAGAAAAAGGAAGTCTAACAGAACTCTAAAGAGGGGGACACGAATAAAGCAATCCTTAAGGGCCCATAGGTCAAGACACCAGCAACCGAAAAGAAAAACTCTAGCAGTAGAGTAAGGATCCAAAAAGAGAGGGAAAAAAGACAAGGAAAGACCTCGATTCCTAAAGTAACAAAAGTGGAATGTCCAAAAATTAAACAACCACCTTGAATTCGAGGGATCCAGAATGAAAGAAAAGAAAAGGAAACAGAGTAAGGGACGTACCTAGCTAAAAACGATCGACAAACCAGGAACCAAAAAAAAGTTGAATAGATTAGGCCAGTCACGCAAAGCCTTTGAAGAAATTGGGGATTTTTCTAAAAAACCCTAGATCCTCGGCGAAATTGGAAAGACGAAGTTGCAAGGGGAAAAAAATAGAGTCAGGAAACACAATGTGAAGAGAGCTTGAAAAAATGAAAGGCAATTCTTTGTCTGCAATTGCATTTAAAGCCAAGAGAACGGGGATCCTCAAAATAAGGGACGTGCACAAGAAACGAGAAAAATATGATTACACGATTGTCATAACTATTAGAATGAAGTCCAATCATGCGCGAATCAAGGTCGACCCAGGCAACCTTACTCATAGCATAATCCCTGCTCAAGCCAACTTGTTTGACCAGGGACTGTGGGTCAACTGATGGTACCACAAAATATCTAAGGATGAGTTCGGTAACCCAGGTTGTGCTACCTAGTTCGGGGGCTCAGCTCGTCAATATTACTCATAGACCTCGATTTCAAACCTCAACTCCCGCGTCAATATCTTGAGGAAGTTTGTACAAAAGACAGCTGGATTTCACCAAGTCCTCCTTCTTTATTTGCGTCAATTACCCAATAGACACAAGTCTCGTTGCACAATGAGGGGCAACCGTTATAAGAGAAGGGCAAGAATCTCCCCCCAGATCAAGCAAAGCTTAGGAATAACTATAAATAGGAGGCAAGGCCCTCAAGAGTGGGGGAGATAACCATTGTAGTCTTACAAAATACTCTTTATTAACCACACACAGTTATTAACAAATTCAGGAACAAGAGACTCCCTTAAAAGTGGATTAGTCAAACTTTTGAGCTGGTGAACCACTATAAATACTGTGTGTAATCATCCATTAATCCCAAAAAAACCCTACTCCTTAAAGCCTTGGAGCTTGGACTAAATTGTTTAGTACACCTTATATTCATACATCTGTCCAATCGCGTTATTAACATCATCAAGAATCATATAATTAAACAAGTTTTATAACACAAAAAATAATAAATCACACTTTTCTAAAACTTTTTCCAAAAACGGTTTTCAGATACTGTTTTTTAAGACGCTAACTAAATTAAAATTTTCATATATAATGTAATAATAAATCATAATAAAATTCATGTACCTTATTTTCATTCCAATTAGTTATAAATAAAAGTGTTACGAAACGATACATTAGTTTTACATGAGTATACTTTACTAAAGAATGCCACTTATGATATTGCAGGGATCGTTTAGTGAAGCAAAAGTAGACTCCTTCAACTTGCCTATATATTATCCACCCATTAAGGAATTGGAAGCATTGATAGGAGGAAACAGTGGCTTCAGCATTGAGAGAATGGAGATCATGAAGAACCCAGCTAAACACGTCACAATGCCTAGCGTTAGACTACGTACCTTATTCTTGAGAGCTTGCTTCGAGGGACTTTTGGAGAATCATTTCGGAAGTAAAATCATGGACGAATTGTTCGAACGTTATTCCAAGAAAGTTGCAGAAGCCAGCTTTACCATGAATCCAGAAAATGATAAATCTATTTTAATGTTTGTCCTCCTTAAGCGTAAAGCTTAGTTACATAAACACCGATCCCTTAGGTTCACCCCGAGGCTCGTGGTTTGCCCAGGGGTCGATACTGATAAAATAAAGAATAAATATCACGTACAATCCTTAGATTCAGTCCTCGGTTCTTAAATGTTTCTTAATAAACTTTCAATTATTTCATTTTAGTTCTTAAACTATATAAAGAGTGGTAATCAATCCCTTCTGTTCAGTTCCATTGTTAGACAATTAAAAAAAAAATCAAGAAAAACTTTCAAGGGAAGAATTAAACCCTTTTAATGGTTTTTTTAATCATGGAAAAACATGAAAATGTTTGATTGATGATTTACATATTTTGAGTACTAAATAGAGACAACTAAAAGTTGTGAGAGGGCATTTTCAAACCGAGACATAGTTGGAGGGTCGTATGTGATAATTACTAGAGAATTAAATTGAGAAGTTGTTTTATTTTATTTTCCGTTGTTATTTTTGATTTTATGTACTTTTCACTTAATTTCCATTTACTATGTGTTGATGGGCTCATTCAAATGTTTTGAGTGGGTTGTTACAAGTAGTTTTAATGGGTTGTAATATTTGCTTTTAACGGGTCATTTCAATACCATTGATATGTATCCTATCATTCGTCGTTTGATTTTTACAATTGATATCAGATCTAGTAACCAGCGTTATGCAAAGGTCACTCATTTTGTGCACCCCTTATGTACCCTTGGTCCGGTGAGGGTTTTGGCCCTAGTGTGGTGGGAGTTATTCTCCGATACCCACACCATCTAGGGCCTGTTTGGCTAGGAAACAAAATGATATAAAATAAAAATCATATAAAATGTATTTTTATAAATGTATTTTGTTAGATTGAAAAATTTACGAAATAGTTTTAAAAAAATTTTATTCTATTATTTAAAAGAAATGAAAGTTATAAGAAATTTTTTATAATTATCTAAATTGCCCTTAATTATATTAAATCGATCTAAAAATAAAAAATATGTAATTATAATTAAAAGTTAAAAAATTTGAAAAAAAGTGGCTCGAAACCTAATTCTAGGATAATTACCAACACAAAAGTCTTTGAACCAAATTATATGATTAATCAAATTCATACCAAAAATTTTTAAAATTAATAACTAATAAAATATTTTAAGAAAAATAAAGGTAAAATAGAAAGTTAATTATATATCACAACTTTCTTTCATTTCTTAACGTTTTTTACAAATAAAAAAAAATGATTATTTATGAAAAAATTTAATCATGAAAGAAAATTATTTTTTCTATCATTTTTCTTTTCATGCTAACCAAACACATGAAAATTATTTTTTGCATTTTTTACCATTTTCCTGCTAAACAAACAAATCCCAAGTATGGATAACTCTCACAAAAGCACAACTGGTCGTAAAAAAAATTGAGATATTCTCTATTATTATTTTATGTGGACCTCTCACTCATTCACGGTGAGTTTTGGAGGTGGTTTGTGTGCAGAAAGGATGAGAGAAGGAAAGGAAGACAATTACCGGAGAGCAACGTCAATGCTGGGGCGGAGAGAAGGTGGCGAGGTGATTGGATTAGGTCTAACAATTGTGTCGAGTGGAACGGTTTTGTGTTGTGTGGAACGGATTTATGTCAAAAAATCTTTTATTCATACCACATTCATTTATATAAACAAGCTTAATTATCACACTCATGCACGAATCATTTATTAAATGGGTTATCCGATGCAACCCTGTGTCACTCGTTAAATAAGAGAATATGTTAGAGTATTTCGAATCCACACGAAAAATCATCAACTCGCCACATATTACACATGTTTGACTTGTTTACTACTCCCTCCATTCCTAAATATCTGTCGTTTTACACAATTTTTTTTATTCCATAATATATGTCATTTTGTGAAACCAAAGCATAATAAATATTTTTTCTTCCAAATTTACCCTTATCTCTATTTTTCAATAAGTGCTTAATAGATTAAGTGCAAGCTAAGTACTTTTCATATTCCTTTTCTTCCCAATACGTATTAAATAAGGGTATTTTAATTTTGTGAAATTACTTTTTACTCATATTATAGCTATTTAATTGCTTCCTTAATCTCTGTGCAAAAAACTTAAACGACATGTATTTAGGAACGGAGAGAGTATAACAATAAATCATAGCTGAGCAAAAAAATAAAGACAAAAAATAAATATTAAATGACCTTTAAATTTGAATGAGTCAGAGAAATAGAAGGTGTGAGATGAGGTAAAAGTTGAGAGACCTAACTTTTTAAAAAAAAAAATTATAATACTACTGTTAACAGGTTAAACGAATTGAAACGAATTTATGGATTAAACACGAAACCGATTCATTTATTTTACAGGTCTGTCGAGTTAACTTATTTACCACTCAAACTCATTAAGACTACACTTAAATTCGTTTAATATGTATCGACTTTGTGTCGATTTTACGAGTCATGCTTAAAATTATCAAGCCTAGATTGGGTGGAGTCATGTTTAAAATTGTCGAGGCTAGATTGGGTGGAGAGAGAGAAGGGGGGGGGGGGGGTTCAAGTGTGATTGACCGTTGAAATAAGGAAAGATAAAAGATTGGGCGGGACTTTTAAGGCCGGAAAAAAAAAATTGATGAGGGAGTTTGGATCCTTAGATCGAATTTGAGTTAATCAGGACTATTCTTGTGTTTTATGGGGGTATAGTTTTAACTTACAACCTCTCTTCTATTAGATAGATAGATGAACCACAGAGTACCTCAGCACGCCTGAGAGAGCAAATCACATTAACATTAATGTTGACACGGAATCAAAGGGTCAAGGATAAGTTTAAATATTGACACCAAATCATTGAAACTGTGATGAATCTTCCAAATTGTTATTGACACCAAAGTATTATATTCATATCATTTTGAATTTGTACAAAGCATAATACATCTCCAATCTTACCCGATAATTTTATTATTTGTGTCAAATTTTTTGAAAAAAAAAAACCCAGCCTTTTTTTTAATTGTAACATATCTAGCTGAGTATATATAATTATTTAACAATTTTTTAATTCAGCAGAGAAATAAATAAAGCTGGTTGGTTGTTAAAGAACATATTGGAAACAGGGACATGTCCAGCTACGTTGTATTATGTTCGGGTCGTATTATTTTAGTTTGTATCGAGTATTAATCATTTTTGTTCGCATTATTTATACATCATGTAAATTTTGTTCTTGTTATCTTTGTGTTGTATTCGTGACATTTTTATATAGCCCGAGAATAGAAACTTCGGAGCAAGGACTCCATTTTCTCGTAACAAAATTCAAGTAACGCAAGTCTCTTAAATTAGGTTTGTTAAAATATGATTAATAAACAAATTATTTATGGATGAAGTCACACTACAACAAAAATAGGTTTTACTTACACAAATTTTAACTAGGAAATATATTTTGTAGGTAAAAATAATTTTTCTCGAAAAAATTATAATTTCCTCAACAAATAATATGTACATGCCCACCCACACCTCACGGTGGAAAATAGAAAAAATATTTTAATTTTACCAAGGAAATTTTCATAGCTAATAAAATAAATTAATTTTAATTTTAATTTTTTTTGAAATTTTTGTTAGTTTTGGTGACTAAATAATTTGTCAGTAAAATTGAAAAAAAAATTATTTGAGATTCACCGACGAAATTCTTTCCTAGGTAAAAGTTGATCAGTTGAGACTACGTCATTCCCACATCTATATTTACCCTAAGTCATCTACTTCTTCTCAATTCATCTACAACATTTTTCCCTCAGACGGTCAGACCATCGTCTTCTTCAGAGATCTTCTTTTTCAACCTTTCTGCCATCGATCTCGCTACCGTCGACATCTATCCTAATCCATTTGTTAGGGCCCAAATCTGTAAATTTTAATGCTTGAACTCTGACAAAATAGTCACATGTTGGGCACGTGATACCATCTAAAAAAATAACACGTTGTCACTTCTGTCAAAAAACTTGACAGATTGTATAATTAATGATCAAAGTGATAAAGATTGAATACTTTAGAGACCAAAGTGACAGTTAATACAATGAGGACTAAATTAATTAAAAAATGCATACTTTAAGGATCAAAAGTGTCATTAATATTTTAAAACCGATAACATTATTTGAGGACGAAAAATATTACATAACTCCAATAAAATCCAAAATTTAAAATTCAAATATATATATCTTCCCTCGAATGAGTGTGGGATGAGCGTCCCACTAAAAAAACTGATGAAACTTACTTATCAAAGAGATAATATGTATTTAGATTCCAACTTTTTGAGTGTAATTTGAATTTTATAATATTACTCATTCGAGAACGTTATGTACTACTAATCTCTCTATCAGCTAATCACGACCGTGAGAGAGACAACGACACTTGTGATCACTAGGGTGAATCTGTCTCTGGGGACTCACTTTTACGCTTAAGGAGTACTAACATAAAAATGGACTTATCATTGTCTGGATTCATGGTGAAGGAAGACTCGGCAACTTTCTTAGAATAACGTTTGAACAGTTCATCCATGATATGACTTCCGAAATGATTCTCCAAAAGTCCCTCGAAGCAAGCCCTCAAGAACAGTGTGCGATGTCTGACACTAGGCATGGCGACATGTTTCGGAGGGTTGTTCATGATCTCCATTCTCTCTAGGCTGAAGCTTGTGTTTGCCTCTATCAATGCCTCCAATTCCTCAATGGGTGGAAAATATAAAGGCAAGTTGAAGGAGTCTACTTTAGCTTCACTGAATGATCCCTACAATATCAATTGCATCAATTAATATATGAAAAATCGTAATTTTTAAATGAATTCTTCATTGAATGATCCCTGAAGATCGGTTGGTCTTCGTTCGACGTCTATGTCACATGTTGATGTATTAACGTATTCTTCAATACACTTTCATTCAATTATTGAGTGAAATTGAATGAAGGTACAATGGAGGAAATTTGGATCCTTAGTTAATCGTTAAAAAAACCTAGAAATAGGAGGAGAAAAACAACTGAATGCAAATAGAACTGAGGACCACAATGACAGCATGCAAAGAATGAGGACCACAATTACAAAAATGTATTTTAAGGAACCATTACTATAGTTTGCACAAATTATAATGAGCAATGTTATTTAAACCTAATTTGTTTATCTAATTTGTTGACCTAAGACCATCTCTGGTCCTTATTCAAACCCTTACCCAAATTTAGGTAAAAAAAAGTAAAAAACTTGATTTGATGCGGACCTCTAATTGACAAACTTTTTTTTGTACTCAAATCTTTTTAAAAAATTCTCATGTTATCCCAATTACTCTTTTTTTACACGAAATATGAATATATATCAAAAGTATATAGATTCCTATGTGGATGTGTATGTAGATTCTTATATGTACTGCGTTTGTGACAAAAAAAAAGAGTAAGAGAGAGGTCGACCATCGTACAAAAAATTGAAGCGGCGTGAGCAAATTTTTTACGTTAGATTTTGACTCTCTTTTGATTTAGGTTTAGAATAAGGTCTCTCTTCATTTGGTATATGTTTGGATATAGGACTCGATAAGGTTTTTGGCCACTTTTTGCCTAATTTAAATTTGGGTCTAAAAAATGATAAAGACTAGAGATACTCTAATTCGCTATAACTCTTGAATTGATTATGAATTTCATAAAATATTATAATTTGGTGTCGAATGATTATAATGAAACCACATCGTCAAATCGACAGATTAAGTCATATTTTTAGGGCTAAATAGCTTTACTTAATTATAATTTGAAAATATTTCTTACCATCTTGGCCATATCCATGAGGCAAGATCCGAGAAGATCGATCTCAGTCCCAATGGTAGTCTCAGAAGAGATCATAACATTAGGGACAGCAGGAATCAAAAGAGCCATTAGCCCTCCACCCACAAGCTCTTCTGCTCTTGCATGCAAGAATGCATCCAAGTCTTTTGCATATTGAAGAGCATAAGCCTCAGAAACTTCCTTTCTGGCTCCTGTATAGTGAATTCTTCCCTTATTCCACGCCGGAGAGTTACTGTCCAGAATCTCTTCCGGCAATTCGGAGATCCAACACAATGAAGAAGAGGAGAAAGCAAAGTGAAGAGAGGCCTTGGGAAGTACTCGGCGGTAGAAAGAGCCAGCCACTCCGGCAGCACGGTATCGTCTTTCAGGTGGAAGAGATTGGAATAGGGTGTTGAAATCATTCAGGATATGGTCATTGAAGAACACCTGCATGTGTTGAAGAAAATATCAAGTGTGACATGATGCCAAACAGATTTCAGATTCTTGTTTATATCAATGTGATTTTATCTTCATCCTATATATATATATAGGACTAGGAGTAACCTGCGTCTGAAGGTACGGGAAATAAGAAGTGATGATTTGGAAGGAATTTAATATAAATAATTTGAAGAAGGAGGTTGGTAATTCTTAGATAAGTTTATTTGAAACCGTCGAATAAGTTTATTACAATCTGTCATGTTTTATATTATAGATAAAACTTATTTAATCTAAGTACCAAGCCAAGACAAGAATTGAGAAGAAAATATATTTGAGAGAATGTCACTCCAATTTTAAGGGCAACGCGTGTATAATTTATAATGTCCCCAATTTAATGTGTGTGTTTAAAGCTTACGTGAAACATTTTTGTGGCACTGTTGGTCATGTAGGGTGTGTGAGAGTGAGTTGAGAAGAATGTGTAAGGGAGAGATGTTTAGGGAAGAAAAATATGAGTGAGAGACAACGAATCATGGGTAAAATATAATTTTCATCTCTACAGTATGCATGTAGTGTCATTTTGATCTCTAATCATCCAATTATGTCTATTTGATCTCTATACTTCCTATTCTGTATTTATGTGATCCAATTTCGAATGTCTGTAAAAAATCGTTAATATCTTTGGTTATACACCAATCACATGGACCAAATAATCATAATTTAAGAACTTCAAGTATCAAATAAACACAAAATTATAAACCACGTGATTGGAGCATGATTAGAACCATCACAATTTTTTTACGAAAGTTTGGAATTAGACCACTTAGTTACAATTTAAGAACCCTAGCAACCAAATAGACACAATTGGAAAATTGGGGACCAAATAAATACTAAATAAATACTTCGGAAACTAAAAGTGTATTTTAACCTAAATTAATTAATTCGTAATAGACTACTAATTAACTACTAATAAAAAAATAGGACATCAATCTCTTTTTCTTAATAATGTAACCTAACAAACTTTAGTCCCTGGATATAAGTTTTACATAATGAACCATGTAAATCTTTTGTGTTCTTAATTTCTTTATTAATTTTGTTTTTATAGTTACTTTATAAACCTGAAATTCGGGGAGTTGGGCTGTTAGTTTTTCTGATTTGAACTTTTGCTCCACGGCTTCAAGTATGACCTGCACTGCCAGAAGTGTGTTGGGTCCTGTAGAGCACCCGAAGTCTGCAATGCAAAATCGGTTTAAAGAAGAAGATGAAGAAAGCTGTTTTATGTCAAGTTTGGCTGCAACTCCTTCTTTGATGAGTTCCTGTGCACCATCTACTGCTCCCCTCTGAAAACAATGCTTGTCAATCATAAACACATCCACAATAAAAAATATATAGTCGGGGCGTAATGGAGTCGTGACTTGTCATTTTTAGTTGTGTCATATTTGGAACCTGTTTCATGTCGGATTATGGAAGACGAGATGACTGTACTTAGCCAGTCATCTCCTCCATGCATAAAAATAATGATACTACCTGATAAGATGAGTTTTGGGCATAACTGCAAGTTCCATCTCCACCATTCATGGCATACGATTCAGGCAATTTGATTGGTTTTTCATCTTCCATGCATGGTTTAAGGTTTCGGCCAAGACAGGCCCTTAGGGGCCGGGTTTGTGCATCACGGCACCTTACTCCAGTCACAGGATATGAAATTGACTCGGACAATCTCGAGTGATATTTCCGATGTCTCGACGTATATAACATAGTATACCGAGTAATGGCATGGTCATTCACTGGATACGTCGAGATGTGGTGGCCGATGGCAAGTGGAGGAGGAGGAGTAGGAGGAGGGTAAGAAGGAAAGGAAGAAAGGGAAAGAAAAGAATACATTTCCTTAACAGCTTTAAACAAGGCAGAACTGTAGCCTGAAATGGTGCTTCTATATTGTAAAGTTTGCAAAACAAGCTGTGCTGGAGTTGATGCCATAACCTTGCTTTATATATTAGTATTTTTGAATTATTTATTCCAAGTTAATGGGCATATCCCAGTAGGCCACCTATGGTTGTCTGCCGTAAGTCAATCCTTATCATGTATATATTTTTGAATTTTAATCTTATCTCTGTTTATAACAATTAATTTCTATAATTTAAAAAAAAAATTATAAAACCTCACAAATAATTCTACAAAAAAGATAAAACCTCATTATATAACAAATATATATATATATATATATATATATCAATCACATGTTTAGCAGGGCGGGGATGAATTTCAGTCCATTCCCGCACTGGTTTATATAGGTATCCATATATATATCTACCATTCAGTACATATGATCAATCATCGGTCCAAACGAGGTGAATTTGCACGAATATCCGCTTTTCTCCTGCCCACTTCCATCCCTAATGCCAAAACTCCAAACACTCTAAATTTCAAACACTGGTCTAGTTACACGAAACGAAATTGACACTGCAAGTGTATCACACAAGAAAAATGTTACACAATCTAAATAAAACCAAAAATCATAACTCAAATACATATCATCTCTTAGATGAGCATTGGATGAGTGAGTTCTATTAAAAAAGTTAATGGAACTCACTCATCTAATTAATGATATGTATTTAAGTTATAATTTTTTATATTTTATTTAAATTGTGCAGTGTTACTCCTCACATAAATAATTAGACCATTACATAGTCTCTATTCTAGAAACAACTACATAACCTACCACTCCTTACAAGTTGCCTCCTAGTCGTCACCCCAGTACTCTAAAACCAATAATCTTCCAAATCTCAAAAATAATAAAAGAAGAATGATCAGTTTGATGGATCAAAAAGTAACAAACACCTTGATCCATCAAATAAGTTACCATAATGCTATTTGAACCTAATTCGTCGTAACCACTAAATTGATTATGGATCTTAATAAATATTGGGGTACATTATCAATTAAGTGGTTATGTATGATTAAGTCAACTTATGAAGTCCAAATAACATTACTTCATGACATAACTCAATAGTCCTTCCTGACTAAGTCACACTTATCCCTCGACACCGTGTCGCCACATATCTTTCACAAATCTAGTATTTTTCACAAATTTAGTAATCATCGCTTTTGCATGAAATAACAATTACCCATGTATAAGTAAGATTCAATTTTTTCATTTAACTATTTCTCATGGGACAGTGATATTATATAATGATAATAACGTGGTGTTGCCATTAAATTGAATATTAACTAACACTTTACCCCTATAGCTAAGGTAAGTAAACGTCCGATAAAGCTACCATTAATCCCTGTAAAAAAAAAGAAAAATAAGTCTTTACGCATTACCCATGTTTAACCAAACTATACCTCAAAACTTTCATATAACTTGGTTATGCTTTAAAGTCCATTGGCAATAAACCTTTCAATTCAAAAATCTTTACAAAATCTCCTACAATCAACCTTACGAGTCACATGTGGGATGGTGCAAAAAGGTTAATACCCATTCTCACAATTGGAAACTTTTACCGTATTGTCGGCGATACAGATATTGAAAATATAAATTTTTAAGGTTAAATTATAATTTTTTTGTTGCGTAAATTACAACTTTAAAAGACATGATTGATCATAGAATGTTAGAATCGATACCGCATTTTTTATGATCGATCATGGGTGGTTATGATTGATCATGACTTTCCTTCAACAATTATAACTTATTCTTTTAAAATTATAATTTTACCATATAAAATAATAATCAACAGTACCGATACCAAGATAAAATTTCGATACCATAGAGTTTTCACACAATTAAGCAAACCACTTACAATTAAGTTACATTACACACATCACTTTCTATTAGTAAATCCAACTCTCACGGCATCCTACAATTGACTTATGTTCCGTTTGGTAGGGAAGATGAAAAGTAGAAGTGATATATTTTTTATCCTTCAAGGATAGAAAGTAAGAAAGATATACTTTCTTTCCTTTGTGTTTGGTTGGATGGATAAAAAATAAAAATGACATTTTTTTTTGTGTTGGCTAAGATTAAGATTTACAATTGAGTCAAATCGTGTCGTGTCGTGTCGTGTCAGATTCGTATTGAGTCATTACGAGTTTGTGTCGAATATTAGTCAAACTTAACTTAACTTAACTTATTTAACTAATTGTGTCGTATCGAATTGAGAGTTGAAATATTTATTTTCGTATCAAGTTCGAATCGTGTCATCGTGTTGAGTTGAAAATTTTCACTCTTAGTTAAGATGGAAAAAATATTTTTTTAATTTAAATTTTTTATTTTTTATTTTTTATTTTTTATTTTTTATTTTTTATTTTTTATTTAAATTTATTTTTAAAATTTTTTAAAATATATATACATATTTTACCATTGTATTTTTATATGAAATTAATGTATACATAAGATATATAGACAAATAAGATACATTTCAACACAAATAATTAACTTTTCATTCACTTTCTTTCCGATTTTGGAGGGATTGATTTTGGTGAGTTGGAGGGAAAGTTAATTCATCTACTTTTTCATCCTTCCTATTTTCCTTCCTTACCAAACATGATGTTTTATTTATCCTTCCAACTTTTCATCCTTCTAACTTTCCATCTTCTCATTTTTTCATCGTACCAAACGGAGCATTAGTGACTGTGGAGCCAGAAAATTATTATGAGGTGGATATTTTAATAAGTTTTAATTTTTTTCTACTAATTGCTAAAAATAATATAATACAGTTTTTTTTTTACTTGCTAAAAATAATATAATACATTATATTTGATACTTAAGAATGGCCAAAATACCGGTATATATAGTGTATGCAAATAAAAAAAAATCAATTATAACCCTTTTCAAAAACAAAACTTTAATATAACCATTTAAAATTGATTTTACTTATTTTTCATACTTCAAAAAAAAAATTATTGCATAAGAATTTTTTATTGATTTTTTTGAAAATTTCTTTCTCTATTTAAACAATCATGCTAGCTACCAATTACTCATTTATCACCAATTCGTGTCATCACAAACTTTATAGTTGATTTTGTTAATTAAATTGTGACCCTAATTTTTTTTAAAATTTCATTTAATAACAAAAGTATTCCTATAATCCTTTTAAATATAACAAAATGACTCTAATATGCCTTCAATATATCTGGGTATAACTATAATGTTTCCGAAAAGCCAAAAATTGTTAGTCATTTTACTTATTAGTCTATCCTAATTGATATTAAGAAAAGGATTGCAGCAAATATTTGGTGTAATTAGAACTAATAGTAATTAGAACTACCCGCGAAATGCTTAAAAAACCTAGGGTTAATTGTACTAGAAGTCCCTAAAGTATGAGATTTGTCTTACTTTGGTCTCCAATATTTTAGTTGCATCACTTTAGTACATTATGTATTAAATATATTTCTATATAATCTCTTAAGCAAACAATTTTCAGATTGTTAACGATTTTTTATCATAAACTTGTCATGTAATACCTAAAAATGGGAAAAAAATAATAATTTGGATAACTCTTAACCAAATTTTTACTCAAATTTTATTCAAAAAATTACATAAATTACATGATTTTGGTTGTGAGCTATCCAAATTTTGGTCAAGAGTTACCTAAATTACACATTTTTTGTCAAAAACTACCCAAATTATTTTTTTATCATATTTAGGTATCACCGTACAAGTTTATTATCAAAAACCATAAGCAATTTTGATGTTATCTGTTTGAGCGACTACAAAAAAACATATTCAATACTTGAGAAACCAATATGATGAAATTGAAATATTGGAGAATCAAAATGAGACAAACTCTATATTTTGGAGACCTCTATTCTAATTAACTCAAAAAACTATACAGTAATGATAATTCAAAAAAATATGAGGGTGAGCATGTGTCCATCAAGTAATTGGGTGTAACCGTTACACTGCGTTTGTATTATCATATGATGTAATTGTCTAATAATAACTCGGTAATTAACTAAAATGGACCTTATTCTTTCAAATAATTACTCTTCGCTGGAAAATAGTAGTCGTTACATATTCACTAAAAGTAAGATTTACTTCATATTCACTAAAAGTAAGATTTACTTACCCACTTATTTATTTATTATTAAGCAATTATACTAGATAATAACATTGATATGGTGTAACTGTTACACCCAGTACTTACTTGTGTCCACCGCAGCCATCACTTGTTCGAGGAATATTATTATTAATCCAACTACCAACCCCCCATAACTTCCTTCCTTGATTGCACATGGGTGACTACTCTCACCAAACTTACTTGTTTGAGGTATTAAAGAATGAGGTTGGACTAAATTGGTGCAATTACTATTTAATATCAAGTTTGCATCAAAGTTATAATGTTTAGTATTTAAGATATTATAGTATTGGCCCGATTCTAATGTATCATGTCATGTAACACTAGTTATGTCAAACATGTTGGGGTGGATCATTTCGTGCAGGATTAATTTCAAATTTACATCAAAAATTCCAAAACACAAACATGACCTATTTAATAATCCTATCGAGATATGTAAAAACTAATTCGACCTAACTCATAAACGGATTACCGAAACTCGACCTGTTTGACATTTTTAATAAACAAGTCGTTCACGGGTTAACATACATAACATGACTTGTTTAACCTGTTTAACACATATAACTTGTTTCTATACCTGTTCATTACTATTAAATACATCATTCAATCATTCATCCAAAATTTTAAATAATTTTTTCACCAATAACATATCATATCTTATCAATGAAATTAACTAAAATACATTCAAATTTCAACTAAAAAATTAAAGCACAAATTATACTAATATACTGTCATAATAATATTAAAAACTATACTGTCAATTACCATAGTAGAAGTAACAACTAATTAATAATAATATTAAGACTACATCAGTTATACATAATAAGTAAATTATATTGCCATAAATGGGTCTACATAGATTACGTCGGGTTCATATTTGAATCATATTAACTCGTTTAA